TTGTGAATCGGTGACAGCTACAGATATTTAGCATCCCAAATATTTCACGGGCGTCGGCGACGCATCGGCGATTCCCTCAGATCTCGTCTTTGATAATTCACATTGCGTGATTGTCACTCATATGAACGAGCACCGATTTGCTCCGATTTCGGGCATTTGTCGGCGATTTCGCAAAACCTGTGAAAAATCGGGCTAAAATCGTGCAGTGTGAACTCGGCATTACTTGCTTTTAGGTCGCCTTCCTAAAGAATGTACAACTGTTAATCTGTCATGCTTTGTCTGCATGCACTGACTCACGTGCTGCTGAGTTTAGACCGTGACCTGTTTGTCTCAGAAATGGCAGTAGGAGTGTTTGGGAAACCTGTTTGGAAGCAGCCATTATTTCTGCAGTTTAATGCAGGAATGACACGCTTCACTAAACAACGAGTCCAGTGATGAATGGATGTTGATGGCAGAGCGGAAGGGCCGTGAAAGGAGGCGCTGTGTGCTGCACCTCTGCTAATGAGCTTATTAACGAGTGGATGGCATGAGAAACCCTCGTTAAGACCCTCTCTCGCTCGTTACAGAGATGTGTGGCTCGTTGTTTAGATACACTCACATACAGATTCCTTTCTGATTGATTAGATCTCACACACAATCACATCCTGTTCATTAATGTCCATTAACAGCTCGTCTCGTGTGAGAGAACAGGCCACAGTAACAAGATGATGCTACGATTGCTTACCGCATACTGCACAGTGTACACTGTGTACTGCACACTGTAGTAGGTGAAACCATATGCAGTGATACACATTGCTCAACGACTCCCAAACGATTCGCTCAACGACTCATTTTTCCAAACCCCTCCTTTGCGTGACGCTAATCTGTGGTGATTGGTCCGATTGGTCTCATTTTCATTTCATCTCGCCTGTAATGCCTGATAAAGCAGCATTTGTGAGCGCAGTGCTGCTTAGTGTACAGCGTTACCGGGGAAACCGATATTTTACGCTCCAAAAGCGGCACCTAGTGGCATAGAATGAATTTGCATTTTCATTCGGCCAACATGAAAAGACCAACAAGTGGGCGGGCAATATGCTAATGTTTCATGTTGACGTCAATATGAAACGACTTGGGATTCGTTTTAAAAAGACTCGTTTCAATGATTCAGAGTCGATTATTTCTTTTGAGAGACAATAACTTTATACACGGTGCACTTTCAGATTTAAAACTTTGCAGGATGTTTTCATTCACTTGGAGCTGGGTTACACACTGCATGAAAGGTCATTTTCAAAAATCCATAATAGGGGCACTTTAATATTAATCATCACAATAAAATATTCTAATATAATTCTATAGTAGTATACTAATATTTCATTATCATTACTGTGTAGGTTTATGATTTCCAAGTATGTGACATCTATCTATATACATTATGACTTCAAAAATCTGTGGAATTTTTTTTATAAATTAATACTTTTATTCAGTAAGGATGCATTAAATTGATCAAAAGCGACAGTATAGACCTTTTTAATTTTCCAAAAAAAATGGAATTTCTATTCATTAAAGGATTAAATTACTTTTTGCCATCGCAGGAAATAAATGACATTTTAAAATATATATCATTTATAAAAACAGTTATTTTAAATTGTAATATTGTTTCACAAAATTGCGCTTTTTATGTTTTTTTTTTTAAATCAAATAAATACAGCCTTAGTATTGGTCCGATTGGTCTCATTTTCATTTCATCTCGCCTGTAATGCCTGATAAAGCAGCATTTGTGAGCGCAGTGCTGCTTAGTGTACAGCGTTACCGGGGAAACCGATATTTTACGCTCCAAAAGCGGCACCTAGTGGCATAGAATGAATTTGCATTTTCATTCGGCCAACATGAAAAGACCAACAAGTGGGCGGGCAATATGCTAATGTTTCATGTTGACGTCAATATGAAACGACTTGGGATTCGTTTTAAAAAGACTCGTTTCAATGATTCAGAGTCGATTATTTCTTTTGAGAGACAATAACTTTATACACGGTGCACTTTCAGATTTAAAACTTTGCAGGATGTTTTCATTCACTTGGAGCTGGGTTACACACTGCATGAAAGGTCATTTTCAAAAATCCATAATAGGGGCACTTTAATATTAATCATCACAATAAAATATTCTAATATAATTCTATAGTAGTATACTAATATTTCATTATCATTACTGTGTAGGTTTATGATTTCCAAGTATGTGACATCTATCTATATACATTATGACTTCAAAAATCTGTGGAATTTTTTTTATAAATTAATACTTTTATTCAGTAAGGATGCATTAAATTGATCAAAAGCGACAGTATAGACCTTTTTAATTTTCCAAAAAAAATGGAATTTCTATTCATTAAAGGATTAAATTACTTTTTGCCATCGCAGGAAATAAATGACATTTTAAAATATATATCATTTATAAAAACAGTTATTTTAAATTGTAATATTGTTTCACAAAATTGCGCTTTTTATGTTTTTTTTTTTAAATCAAATAAATACAGCCTTAGTAAGCATAAGAGACTTTTTCAAAAGCTTAGTGTGTATATACTTTAGTATATATACATTAGTGTACATTAGTATATATACACACTATATATTTGTGTGTGTGTATGTGTTATACATGTATGTATGTATGTATTAATGATGTTCACAAAGGCTTTAAATATGGTTCATCCTATCAGATAATAGAGCTGGAACGGATTTATAGTCTTTGTTACTGTATTGTAAATGAGTTTTACTTTAAGTTTCAAGTCATAGCCGTAAACCACAGCTGAACTTCACTGTTTAAAGAGGGAGGTCAAATCTCGGTCAGTTAATTTTCATGAAGAGGTATGGATGAAAATAGCAAAGCGAATCTATTGTGAGGGAGACTCAGAGTCTACAGCGCCTCCTTCAGGTACAGGAGTGTGTGAAAGCGAGAGGGAACCGTGTGAAGGGCTGTTGAGGTGTTCAGAGCGTGGGGTGAGGTCGGGCGCGAGGCCACAGAGGGACGGCGTCTAAGAGATCACATCTACTCGTTTTAGCTCAAGGGTTCTTCAGCGCTAAACTACGAGCACACTTGACACATCACAGCCCTTCAACACACAAGAGTCACCAAACACACTCAAATCATAATATATACAGTCTGTGCATCCATATATCTATTATCTAGACCTATCTATTAATCTATAATACGAGAGTTTGAGTTTCTTTGAGCTGTGTGTATCATATCAATATGGTGTTTGTTTCTGTATGTATATACGAGAGTTTGCCACCTACCAAGAAAGCACATAAACTCCTGCGGGGGGACTCCCATTGAAAACAGCTGTTGATGTAGGAGCCCACGTTAATGAGGAAGAGGACGCAGCGCTTCACTCGGTTAAAATTCTGCTGCAGCATCTGAGAATGAGAGAGATTCAACCGAAACAAGTGCTGTTAGCCATAAACAAATCATTATTTGAGAATACTGCTGAATACCAAGAAATTGGAAATATTATATCCAATATGTTACTGAAATATATTGATATATTTTATGTTTATATCACATAAATATATTTTGATGACATATATTCAAACCAAAATAATATTCAAATGTAAAAACAATTGTATTTTATAATCACAAAATATATTTTATAGATGATCAATATTTTATATAATTTACTTGTATAAGAATTATATTATGTATTACTATATATTCTCACAATTATATATATTGTGCAATTATATGAGATATATTTTAACCAAAACATTAAAGCAATGCACTACCGTTCAAACGTTTAGGGTCAGTAAGATTTTCTCTGTTTTTGAAAGACGTTTTTTTTTATGTTCACCAAGGTTTCATTTATTTATTTGACAGTGAAAATTCAGCAAAACTGTAATATAGAGAAATATTATTACAATTCACAATAACTGTTTTATATTTGAATATATTCTAAAAGGTAATTGAATTTTGCATCATTACTCCAGTCTTCAGTGTCATGTGATCCTTCAGAAATCATTCTAATATGCTGATTTGCAGCTCAATAAACAATAATTAATTATTATTAATAATCTGATGAAAAGAATGTTTAAAAGAACAACATTTTTTAAAAATAGAAATCTTTTATAACACTAAATGTCTCTGTCACTTTTGATCAATTTAACATAATAAATTTGTAACATTATAAACGTTATAATGTAAAACTGAATCTTTACTGTCACTTTTAATCAATTTAAGTTATTAATTTGAAAAAGTTTTTTTGGGTTATAAAACATAAATATTATTCTCTTCCATCAAAGGCGATACGCATGATTAAAACAAACCACACCAAAAGATGCACTAATCTCATGGCATATCAAAAAACGAGGCAAATGTAATCATCTCCATAAGTGACGGTGTGACTGACAGCTGGGGTTAGATATACGGGCCGAATCCGCGGTTGAACTCTTAACTGAGACGGGCATAAAGAACTGAAGAATCGGTCTGTTCTGCTCAATGTGCAGCTTTGTGACAGCGTCTGATTCAGCCCAGCCCCTCCAATTCAGCGCTTTTGTCACGCAGGCACATTGAGAGAGAGGACAATGAGCAGGCACAGCCGTAGAGCCGCAGCCGGGCCCTCTGGGGTGGCCCCTCTCCTCTCATGAGGGCCGGCTTGACATTTCTATTCAACACCTAGAGCGGCAGGGCAAGGGGGAAAACGCAGCGATTCAACGCTTGCGCCCCCTGTCCCAAACACGTCGGCCTATTGTGTGGCGGGCATGGGACCGGCGGCCCTCATTGGGGTGGTTTTCATTTGATTGCAGCCGTTGGATTAAAGGAACAGTTCACCTAAAAATGAATATTATGTTATTATTTACTAATGACCCCTAATGTGATTGCACACCCGTGTGCTGCTATTTTATGTATAGAACACAGATGTATCATAAAAGCCCCATAAAAGTGGTCCGTGTGTGATTTATATTCAAAGTCTTCTGAAACAGGGTTATTATAGTTAACTAAAACTAAAACCATAAAGAAAACATTTTCATTACTTGAAATTAACAACAGGCAGTGGCTATTTACACTAAGTGAAAATAGCAGATGTTCTTAGCGATATACGCTATTTACACTAAGTTCAAATAGCAATAGATTCTATTTACACTATGTAAAAATAGGAGTATTTGCAATAGTAGTAGTTAGATGCTGTTTATACTACTTGGTGCAAATAGTGCCAGATATCTGGACCTCACTACTGTAGTGCATTATAAAACAGTATGCAATAATAACGTATGGAGTGTAAATTATCATTTTTATTAAAATTATTAAATGCATGCCGCTTTGGGACAATAAAGCCCTCCCTACACCTAACCCTAATCTTAACCGATAAACACCTGTGAGGTACGTTATTTTTCATTTTTCGATTATTTCCTTCATTTTTATTGAAAATAAATTCCTTTCTGATGTGATGTGAAAAGGGAGAAGAATGAGTTCAACAAAAGGTGATTCAAACAAACAAACAAAAAACTACTAACATTATGTGCTTTACTACCTACGCCACTGGAGCTGTTGTATAGCAGGCGTATTTTGAAATCTTGTGTAGCCCAACCACACGTTGGTGGGCGGAGTTAGTGTAAATAGCCTCTGCCAACAAGGCGGGCTTTGCATTTAGTGTAAATAGACACTCCTTTAACCCCGTTAACTAAAATTGAAAATGAATAATTGAAATGAAATGTTAAAAATCTTAAACTTATTTAATTTTAGTTATTTGCCAAAGAAACTAAAAAATGAACAAAAACTATATAGACATAATAAAAAAACTAATAAAAATGACAAAAACACACAACAACATTTTTAAAACTAACGAAAATGAAAATTGAAAATATAAAACTAAAACATTTTTGATACAGATAAAATCAATGATAAATGAAGATCAATCTTCATTAATCTTAAAACTGAAATAAAAATAAAATATAAAAAATTGTAAACGTATTTCATTTTAGATAGTTGCCAAGGAAACATTTCTCACTGTCATTCAGTTTAACTTGATGTACTAAAATAACTAAAACTGAAATAAAAACTAATAAAGATGATAAAAACATAACAAAATTATTAAAATATTAACTAAAAATTTAAATGGAAATTAATACATGTAAAAATTAGTGCTGTCAAACGATTAATCGCATACAAAATAAAAGTTTGTATAAAATATGCGTGTGTTCTGTGTATATTTATTATGTATATATAAATACACACACATACAGAATATATTTTGAAAATATTTACATGTCTATATTTATATTCATATCATTTATATTATAAATAAATATATTTAACATATAAGCATAACATATTTTTCTGAACTATATGCATGCATGTGTGTGTATTTATATATACATAATAAATATACACAGTACACATACATATATTATGTAAACAAAAACTTTTATTTTGGATGCGATTAATCGCGATTAATCATTTGACAGCACTAGTAAAAATAAAAACGAATTCAAAATATTAATGAAAACCATAATAGTATCTCAGTGATACTAAAACAACACTGTACCAAAGCCATATGACTGTTTAGTCTGAAAATTCACAGATAATCCCTACACCGGAGCTTTTGTATCCAGAATTAATGCTGTTTTTATGTCACCATTTTTAATCTAGATGCTAACGCTTAAGAAGTCTGCGAATATATGACACAACACAAGTCATTTGAACCATTTTTGGGGTGCTTTTTTTTATCCTTTTTGGAATTTTATGGAAACAGCTGTGCAATGATTCTTTAAAAAAAAAAAACTTTTTGTGTTTCACAGAGTAAAATAGCAGCATGTGGTTTGTGGAACGACATAAAGGGGAGTAAATACTGACAGAGGTGTCATTATCTGTGAACTACTCCTTTTAAAGAATAGTTACATTTTTGCTATTTTACCTGTTTAGAGAATTTGGACTCCTCTTCGATGTACTTCTGTTCTGGTGGAACGAATGTCCGCAAACTGGCTTTCACCTTGAAGCGAAACGAAGCACTATGATTTGTTTTAATTAGCGCTGGAGTTCTCTATATGCATCAATAATTATTGCATATTCGACAGTGTGAAAAAACACAGAGGAAACAAAAGACACAACATCCAGCACTCCAGGCGCAGCGCACACTTACGGCGTTGAAGATGACGTCTGCTTCGAGAAAGATGACCCCCTTTGTTGGCCCTGTCAGCTCCTTGTTTCTTAAGACTTAGGCCTTCTGTTCACTGTTGCAGATCTGTGTGAAGAAGACGTGACAGCCTGCTGTCTGGCAAAGCCCCAGCGGACCCCCCTCCTCAGCTGACCCCTGATCTCCTAGCAGCAGCATCAAACAGCCAGCCGCACATTCCCTCCCCGTCCCTCCCTCCTTCCAGCACTTCCAACTCAGACAAGTACCTGCTCATTACCAGCATCCCTCTGTCACCGAGACATTACCCCGGCACCGGGAGGCCCAGCTGTGTGCGCTTTTAAACACACGCTAAGACATCAAACTCGTTCGGCGAGTCGATTTGTTTCAAACACATCTATAAAAGCGCCTTTAAAAACACAAGTGGATCTAAGAATTTGGAGAAGCTGAATGGGGTGAGCTTACGTTTAATAACGGGACGGCCACTTTACCCAGGAAATCAGAGCTGCGATCTCTGTCCTCGTCGTACACGCTGATCTCCAGCACTGAGTGAATGTCTTTCACGTTACTGCAGGGTGAAAAATATACAGAATCATTTCTATTCTTTTTGACTATAATATTGCATTTACAAATACTGTATGAAGTCAACATTAAACAGAATTTGCAACACTTTTGAATGCCATAATATGACGCATTTCTGTGGGTAATTATGTAGGGCGATACTTGACTTCAGGATTTGATTGGATGATGAATGATACCTCATAACAGAATAAGTTCTATTATTATTGATTATAAAATGGTTTAGTATATCGCATTTACAAATATACTAAAGGCACAACACATGATTGCAAACAGGAATTTGCAATGCATTGAAATGCCATAATATATGGAAGCTTATTTCTGCCAAGGAAAAAGTTATATCTCACAATTCCAACTTTTTTTCTCGCAAAAATTGCAAGTTTACATCTCGCAAAAGGCGATTCAAACTTGGGTCGATCGCGCCAAACCATAACTACTAACATTATGCGCTTTACTACCAACTTTTTTCATCTCGCAATTCTGATTTTTATCTTGGAATTCTGAGTATATATATCTCTCACAATTTTGACTTTTTTTCTCTGAATTCTGACTTTGCATCTCGCAATTCTAACTTTTTTTTCACCACAAAATAAAAAATATAAAAGTAATTGTGACTTGTGAGTTTTTTTTTTTTTGCAAATGGAAGTTTATATCACAATTCTGACTTTTCTTCTCAAAATTGTGACATAACATCTTGCATTTCTGAGTTTATATCTGACAATTCTGACTTTTTTTTTCTCAGAACTGAAATTGTGAGAGATTAACTCAAAGTCAGAATTGTAAGATAAGCCACGGTTACCCTTTTTATTTTTTAATTCCGTGGCAGAAAAAAGTTCCCATAATAAAGTGGCATATTTGTGAATACAATTCTGTGGGAAATTCATTATGAAGATCAGCATTTAAATCATGCAGCTTCTTTTTTGGTAAAAAAAAGTCATTCTTTTCTAAATGACTGGCTTTCGACTGGTTTTTAAATGGCGTACAATAAAATGGGTGAATTATTTTTAAAAAGACATATGAATAATAAATTATATCAGTGCAGAGACAAGTTTTCACAACATTGCATTGATTCCTCAGTTCCAGCTCATTATATCAACATTTGTATTTATTTATGTGTGCTTTTATATCATTTCCTATACAGTTCGACTAATATTGGAACTAGAAGAATTAATTTACGGTACTAAACAAAAGTGAAGCAAAGGGTGCAAGAGATATTGTGCTATATTGCAATGTGTATCATGTCGTGAGGTAAATGGTGATAGGCTCACTAAATAACTACAACCAAGTCATATCTAGAGGCCAAAATAATAAAAAATAAAACAAGTCATATCTAGAGCGCTAGGTTTGTTTGACTCAATAGGCCAGTAGGAAACCACCTAGAACCAGCCCAAAACAGCCTAGCAACCTAAACATCCTGCAACAACAAATGAATAGCATCCAAGAATCAAGTAAATGGGATACATTTTCATTTGACGTTTTCTATAATATTATATACTGTATTACACAATCAAGCCAAATTGCAGCTGATAGTTGGTTTTGTAAATGCAATGCACTTGAGTCCAGGTGACAGAACAACTTCATCAGCTGTGGATATTTAAATTCGTCCTCTGCTGGGAGCAGCGGTGGTTGTGCATAATGAACTCACAAGGTGAAGACTTTATTCCACTCGGGATTCAGTGTCTTGTAGACCGTGTGTGTTTGCAGACGGTCGTTACACAACTCTGCAATGCAGAACGGGTCGCTCTTTCCTGAAACACGATGTTGCATTCAAATAGCTTTTAGTTTAAAATGCCCAAGTGAGGTATGAAAAGGATTGGAATGAAATGACAACCGTGAAATAAAATAATGAAGTTTGTAGCTATAAGTTTCTAGTAAGTCACTTTTGCTTAATAATAAAGATGCAGCTTCTTCAGTCTGGCCTATGATGTTTTACGATCACCTTCTCCCCAGGATCTTTCATGTGCTCTCATACTGTGTTCAAAAGTTTGGCGTCATTAAGGATGCATTACGTTGATGAAAAGTGACCGTTAAGACGTTCACAACGTTTTATCTGAAATAGATTTCTATTTCAAATAAATGCTGTTCTTTTGAACTTTCCTAGAAAAAAAGTATCATGGTTTCCACAAGAATATTAAGCAGCTTAACTGTTTTCAACATTGATATAATAGGAAATATTTCTTGAGCAGCAAATTAGCATATTAGAATGATTTCTGAAGGATCATGTGACACTGAAGACTGGAGCAATGATGCTGAATATTAAATATTTAGTTACAATAGTTCTATAAAGTAGCGAAAACTAAAAAAAAAGCTTGAAATGATCAGTAAGTCTTTTTGAAAACACAATTGTCAGATTTGAAATAATGTTTATTCCTATATAGAGATCATGCAACTTCCTTGAAAATGTTGCCAGTGTGAAAGATTAGCATAACTGCCTTTAACTTTTATTAAAATTTTAATTCACTGCAAAAAAATAAAGTTAAGGAAGTAAAACGTCTATGACATCGGTGCTGAAAGAATGTAATTCTACACATCTTGCCCACTTGCATGTTGTTTTATGAAATATTTGGCTAATTTTTGAAAGCTCTCAGCTCAAATAAATGTGAAGAGAAAAGCACACAGATTCGGTGTGGGTGAATGTTGGATGGAAAAAGTGTAGAGGAGCTAAAAATCAGATTGGAAGACAAGTCTTTTTAAACCTTTTTAAAGAAATGCACAAAAAGTGTGTGTGTGTGTGTGTGTGTGTGTGTGTGTGTGTGTGTGTGTGTAAAAGCTTTTGTCTGTCCACCATAGTGTGGTATTAGAAGAAGCATGAAATCAGAACCCATGAGGTGGGCTGCTTCTGAGAGAACTTATGAGTAAGAAAAATATGAAATTAGGAGGTTATCTTTCCATCATACACCTCCTGAAATGCCTGGAAAAGTCTTATAGACCATCCAGTTTACAATCCAGGTACATTTTTAAAGGTGTTTAGACACCAAATAGAGTTGGATTAGGAAAAAAAAAAAAAAAAAAAAGAAATACTATATGCATTTATGCGTTCATTTGATCAGAAATATAGTAAAAAGTAATATTAAGTATTATTACAATATAAAAGAACTGTTTTCTATTTTAATATATTTTAAAATGTTATTTATTCCATAAATAAAATATCTAATATGCTGATTTGCTGCTCAAGAATCACTTCTTATTATTATCAATGTTGAAAACTGTTTTCTTGCTGCTTATTTATAATATAATTTATTATTACATTATTAAATATCATATTTTTGTGGAAAGTGATACACCACTTTTAAATTGAAATAATATTTCAAAATATTACTGTTTTAACTGTATCTTTGAAAAACATGCCTAAAAGTTTAATTTTGAATGCAAAAAACTTTATCTTACTGACCCAAAGCTTTTCAATGGTAGTGTACATTTTTACATTTTATGAATAAAGTAAGTGGTGCTTGACTATAAATAAGTAAATCCGATCACAAATATTATCACTGCACTTTGCGAACAGCTAATAAAGTCTTAATATCATGATTTAGATGCCAAATATTATTGTTCTGAGCATCACACAGATTGCGTTGTCATGATTTCTGTTACTTTTCTCAGCGCTGGACAGGATGGGCCAATCACAGATGTGAATATTGAAGGTTTAAGTTTTATTTAATAATTTTAAAGACATTGATGGGGCAAATGTTTATTTATATGGGTCAAATAATATAAAACCCATACTGAGATTTGAATGCGGCTCAATGGAGGATTCAGTTGTCAAGTGCCCTCTAGAGGAAGACATGTTAGCGGTTAATAGCAACACTTGCTGTACAGTGTCAAAAGACCCCTTTTGTGCAGAAATGTACTGTTTGGCTGTGAGGACGTCACTCACATATCTCTTAATGATCTGCTGGCGTTCGTCTGGGTCGTCCAGTAGGTTGACAGACAGGTCAGAGATGGAGAGCACGACTGTGGCGGTCAGAGTCACCAGCAGTACTAATGTCCCTTTATCCTCCTCCAGCTCAAGTTCCAGCTTATGCGTCTTCTCTCTGCTCAACTTTGACAGGTCCAGCTGACAACTAAAATATGTTAAACACATGTACTTCTTGTAAATCAAGCATCTAGCAATGGCATATTGATGGGTTTGATTTACAGATAATGTGAATAAATGATATGTGGAAAATTGTACGCACTGGCCAATAAAGTCATCTCTCCTTCCAATGTCTTTATCCCAAACGGTGATCTCCAGAATGCCTCCCTCCTCGTCATACAGATGCAAGTCAAACTGCTCCCTCCACTGAGGGTTAAGGGTCTTGGGAATTGTCTGATTTTACAGAAGTAACAGAGAAATAGTTTTCTTAGAAATAGTTTCAGCAGACAGTATTCTTATTCTGTCTGCTGAAACGTATACTGAACGAATAGCATCTTATGACATTATGATGAGCAGACGTTGAGATAAATGAATGAATGAATGAAAAATTAATTATTAAATAAAAATATTATTTATAAACGTTTTTGTCATTATATATCACAATAAATGTAAAAATAAATATCAATCATAATAAATACAAAGAATAAATTTAGCTGTAAATAATGCAGGCTAGGGTTATTGGTTAATATTATTTTTCCTTTCCTTGGTTACATCAGCAATGAAAATTTGGTAACACTTTACTTTAAGCCTTTATGTATAATGCATTATAAACATAGTTTTAATGCATTAATTATGCCTTGTAATGCATTGTACAATCTCATGAATAATTGTGACCACAGTTAATACATTATAACACTTATCAATTCATTGTTATACTTTGCATTTTAAATTCAGTTATATTTAACTGTTAATAATTAATGCATTACACCCTTTAATAACCCTTTATAATGCATTATACATAAAGGCTTTGAATAAAATGTTACCGATTAAAATTATTTTTACTTTGGAATAATGGCTGAAACGTGGACAGTAAGACTAGAGATATTTAAAAAGAGATCACACAGTGTCATGTTGCCATGTTGAAATGGCACAGTCACTCATACCTTACTCTTGTACTTTTGAGGGCCTAGTTTGAACTTGACGTAAGGGTCACTCAGGCCGTTCTGGTCCATGGGGATGAGGTTGCGACCCTCAATGAGTCTGATGCTCACGATGCCCCTCCACAGCTGAGACTTTCTGTGCATGTCCGACAGCCGAAGATTCTGCTGCTGCTGATGCTGCGCTCCGCACACACGTCACAGGACATTAAAGGGTTACTTCAGTCCAAAAGGATAATTCTGTCATCATACAGTCACCCTCATGAACAGTGAACAATATTTGAGAGAAATAGGCCTTTTGTGTACATAGAAAAAGTCTTAGATCTTTGAGTTCAGCTCATGAAAAATGGGGGCAAAAACATTTTTGCATTTGTTATATTATAAATGCATTGTTGCATTTATAATTTTGTTCAGTGTATATATATATATATATATGCATTGTACAATCTCATGAATAATTGTGACCACAGTTAATACATTATAACACTTATCAATTCATTGTTATACTTTGCATTTTAAATTCAGTTATATTTAACTGTTAATAATTAATGCATTACACCCTTTAATAACCCTTTATAATGCATTATACATAAAGGCTTTGAATAAAATGTTACCGATTAAAATTATTTTTACTTTGGAATAATGGCTGAAACGTGGACAGTAAGACTAGAGATATTTAAAAAGAGATCACACAGTGTCATGTTGCCATGTTGAAATGGCACAGTCACTCATACCTTACTCTTGTACTTTTGAGGGCCTAGTTTGAACTTGACGTAAGGGTCACTCAGGCCGTTCTGGTCCATGGGGATGAGGTTGCGACCCTCAATGAGTCTGATGCTCACGATGCCCCTCCACAGCTGAGACTTTCTGTGCATGTCCGACAGCCGAAGATTCTGCTGCTGCTGATGCTGCGCTCCGCACACACGTCACAGGACATTAAAGGGTTACTTCAGTCCAAAAGGATAATTCTGTCATCATACAGTCACCCTCATGAACATGATTTTTTGGACACAAAAGGAGATGTATAGAGCCTACAACAAAAGTGGTTGATGGATGTGGCTGTAAAGCTCCAAAAAGGACAGTCTACGCTATCATTTTAAAGTTTGGGGTCTGTACGCTTTGAGGTCTTGTTTCTTGAGCAGCAAATCACCATATTAGAATGATTACTGAACGGTCATGTGCACACTCAAGACTGGCGTAATGATGCTGAAAATTCAGCTTTGCATCATGGGAATAAATTACATTTTAAAATATATTCAGAAAGAACACGGTTATTTTAAATTGTTAAATATTTCACTGTTTTTACAGTATTTTTGATCAAATAAATGCAGCCTTGGTGAGCATAAGAGGCCAATCTTACTGACCCCAAACTTTTGAACAGTAGTGTAAAGTTTATGATGACAGATCATTTTTGAGTGAACGATCCCTTAGTTTAAGACAATGAAATGACTCCTCAGCGGGAAAAGGACTGAAAGAGTGTGGAGTGGTTTCACATACACCATGAATGACTGAGTCACCAAAGCATAAAATGCAGATGTCTACAAAAAGGCAAGGCCTGTCACCCCAAGAGATGCATGACTGCCACAACTAATGGACCGGTTCCTATAAAACTCTTCATCCTCTGACCAGACTGCTGCAATTCTGACCCGTATCTGACATTTAGGACATTTTGCACACAATCCAGTTTTTCTTTGAACATGTTGCAAAAGTCATTCTGCAAAATGGCCATTACTAACAAACTCAATACAGCGTGTGGGACAGTTTACACAGCAGCTAGTCAGAGAATCTTGGGGCAAGCGCTCCTGCTTTTTTACCTTACTGCATCCCTTCCAGCTTCTCCTCAATAGCATGGTCTACAAAAACAACAGAGCAGGTCATATGTGTTACTGTCAGTTAATCAGGGGACCGGGATGGAGGTGGGCGAGCTTTGATTAATGCCACAGCTACTTTTGTACTAGATCAAGTGATGCATCTTCTGTTCTCACGCTCTGTCCTGATGATCAAAACCGCCCATAAGACTGCCTTTTCATCTGTTGGTGGAACACCGTGTGAATTTCGATGTGTTCTCCGCCCACCTGCACACTGCAGCAGGTTTCTAATGTCTAATTCAAAGTCATTTCATGCATTATGCAGATAGCACAAACGTCCCATCATCCCAGTGTCTCTCAAGAGTCATGGGCTTTTTGGACAAGCTGAACATAATACTTCTACTAGTTCTGCAGACTTTGCACAGCATTTTTTCTGTAAGCCAAATGCGCATGTTGTGCAGGGCACAGTATCCCACAATGCAATATGCTTGACTTGACCATCCATGGTTCTTTTTTATACAAAATAGATTTTAAAAAGCAAAATAAAATTTTTTTACTAGCTAACTGGACATCACAAACCGAATTAAATGCAACATAGTAGCTCATGTGACCACAATGTAGTATACTACTATTTCATTATGCATAATGCATACTGTTTTAAAAAAAATAGTTGGCTAGGCAGTATATACACTACACTACATACGCTGCATTTATTTGCTAAAATACAGTAAGAACAATTTTCAATAACTGTTTTCTATTTGAATGTAATTTATTCTGTGATCAAAGCTGTATTTTCAGCATCATTACTCCAGTCTTCAGTGTCACATGATCCTTCAGAAAGCATTCTAATATGCTGATTTGCTCCTCATTAAACATTTATTATTATTATTAATTTTGAAAACTTTTTTTTTAGTTAACTTAATTTTTTTGTGGAAACCGTGATACTTTTTTTAGGATTCTTTGATGAACAGAAAGTTCAAAAGAACAGCATTTATTTGAACATTATAAATGTCTTTACTGTCACTTTTGAAAAACGTTGTTCGTCCTTGCTGAATAAAAGTATTAATTTCTTTTAAAAAACCTCATAACCCCAAACCTTTGAAAGGGAGTGCACAGTAAACAGATTGAGCACATTATCAACTTCTGTTGCAGGATTCACATACTTTTCAAAAACAAGATTACTAGATGTAGTTGCTAAACACTTCCTGAGAACTAAAAACAGTTTATATAGTCTTGTGAGAAAGGTGTGAAACAAATTTGAGGTCTGTAAACACGTCAGAATGAAATCTTTTTGAATGCATGTTGAGAGATTGTTGGCAGATTGAATCTTTTCCAACTTTTACAAGTATAAGACAACATTAATCTGCCAAGTGAGTCTTACCGCCTGTCGCAGGACCTCTCTGTCCTCTGTACTTCTTGGGAATAGAGTGACCGCCAGCTCCAGAGAGCCCAGGTCCTGATCAGGGCAGTGAGGATCTTGAAGGTCCAACCGAACATCAATAGGTCTACAAGAAAAACATGAGCTGTTATGACCACCATTATAAGTAGCACTATAGTTTATCACCTAAAAAAAAGAATAGTACTTTTGATAAATATGTTTAAAATGATAACGTCCACTTGTCAATATAATACTTTTACAATGGCATTGGTAACCAAAAACGTATGCATTTGTGTAAAGCTGCATCCACGGCATTAGATGTCAGTATAAACTCTTAGATCACAACAAAACATTAGCAAAACTGACCTTGTCAACGTTCATTTCATGAAACTCCTAATACATCTGAACACCATTTTATGCTGATTAAAAATGTATTAATTTGACACTAACTGTTGAATTCTTATATCTTTGCAGTAATGATGAAGACAATACCTCTGGAGCTCCAGAGAATCAAGGTGCAGGTAAGCTGAGCCCATAAAATCATCTTGAAGGCCAAAATCATAGTCAAACACCTAAAATAGATTGCAAAAGGGTCAATTCTTTAGGAAGAAATATCAGAGACAGTGTTGGGGAAAGTTATTGCATGCATTACAATATTGCGTTACTCCATAAAAAAGTAACTAATTATGTTACTTTGTTACTTTTTATGGAAAGTAATGCGTTACGTTACTTTTGCGTTACTTTTTAAATCTGGACAGGGCTTGCTTGTTTGTTTTTCAAATTAAAAAGTTATATTTTTGGCAAATATAAAAGCTTTTTCACACCAAAAGTGAAATGAATAAGCCTCAGGCTGAAGGGAAAGTGCATTTACGTCCGTACAGTAGAATGCAGAAGAAGACATTTCAACACACTTCAGCAATAAACAAAGACACACAAATGTTTGTCTGGAGTAATTTGTGCTTATTAGTATGGTTGAACTGGATCATCGAAGGTCAGAAGCAAAGACATTGTTAATAGAATGGGGATTAAATACATAAAGGATATTTGTGTTGTTTAACATTTAATTATTGCAGGTTCGCATCATATTCTGAGTTGCATTATTTGTATTCATTTTGAGGAATACTGAATCTGTGTTTTTTTTGTGAGTGAGATGAATTAATGCATATTCCTATTTATTTTAGAACTACAGTAACATCTTCTGATTTCTGTCACCATGGCGACACCAGAGCTGTCAATCAATAAATTGGAAAAAAAATTCACTTTTTGAAAAAGTAACTCAGATATTCTCTTGTAAATGAAAAAGTAATGAGTTACTTTACTAGTTACTTGAAAAAAGTAATCTGATTGCGTAGCTCGCATTACTTGTAATGCGTTACCCCCAACACTGATCAGAGAACATTCTAGACTTCTTAATGACTGATTAATAACTGTTGTCAATTCTAAAAAAAAAATAAAAAAAAAACGGCTCATAAGACTCATTTGTACTGGAATCAGTCTACATTGTTCACGCTGTAATGCTTTTGTATTACTAAATAATCAGCTCATAAAAGTCATTCATTCGGAAATCGGAATACATCTGTCCCGCATTATGTTTTTGATTCTCTAAAAAAAACCCGGCTCATTAGAGTAATTCATTTGGGATTCGGACTACACTGGACAAGCAATATGATTTGATTCACTAAAATGAATTTGCTCATAAGAGCCATTCATTCAAAAAAACGGACTACACCAGTTGAGCAGTATGTTTTTGATTCACCAAAACGAATCGCCTCATCAGAAACAATACTTTGGGTTTCGGAATACACTGGTCGAGCTGTATGATTCTGATTCACTAAAACAAACCGGCTCATAAGAGTCATTCATTCAAGATTCATATTATATACTATACTGGTAACAAGCATCCAAAAACTATGCGAGTAAAAGCTGTATTTTTACCTTAAAATACAGAGGCTCTTGTAAATTGTCCACTATCAGACAAACACGTTCATCCCAAACTGGGTTCAGGTTCTTGTGGATGATTTTACTGCGGAAAACTTCTTTGCCAGCTATTTTGAACTTCACATACGGGTCACTTGTTCCTGAAACATAAAAGCATTTTGATCTCAACATAACTGATTACATGTTTCAACAAATCATAGAAGGAACATTAGTTTTAAATAGCATATAAATACATCTTATTAAAAGTGAAACACGTTTTCCGGACAGTGGTATTAGTGGAGACAACATGAGCAGCAGATCTTACCGCCTCTGTCTCGAATGGCAAGGTTGTTTCCTCTTTTCAGCATGATGTCTAACTGGTACATTGCTGAAGTGGGCAGTGAAGGCTGTGTGCCACCGTTACCAGCTGCGTTAATGCCCTGAAGAAAAGACATTGTCCCAAAAACTTTAGTGCGACTGATTGACAGAACCTCCTCAAACATTCAGTGCATCCAAAGCCATTAATGCCAAACATAGGGTTTTACAACTCAAAAGTGCTCATATGAGAAAACAAACTTACACCTGGGGAGAAAATGTATGATTAAAATTATGACAGGATGTTGCAAGATGCTTAAACCTGATAAATGGTGCTCTAAAACCAGCATTGAGAACATAACTGAACTCGTACAAACTTTTTATTGTGTTCTAACAGTTTCATTAGAATGACCATTTGCACTTGCTTTTATTTAACTGGACTCATTACAACATATTTACAAGTTTCAGTCATATTTTTGGCTGCTATATAGAAATAGTATAGCAGTTTTGTGTAATGGCATGTTGCAACATGACAAGTGTCCTGCAACAAGTCATTTATCTGTCCACACTAAAAGCAAAAATGCTGCACAATGTGAAGCAAGAACAATGTGATTCCACTTTGTTTTCATACTTTCACAAAGTCAGCACTCATTTTGTACCAATTTCTTCCTTGTACCCTTTTGTGGAGATGTTCATTAGTGAAATAAGCTTCCACTTTGTTGCATGCCACTTCATTACTTTGTCTAATCATTTGTGGTTGGTCGCTTTAAATGTTAGTCAGACGATCTCATCCAGTCTAAGTAGCCAGTTCTTGAACAGAATAAGCTGCAAATAAACTAAAAAGCGAGAGTCACAGGAGGCTAAACTAGCTTTCAATGGCTAATTTTAACATAGGAAGTGAAACACTGTGTGTGTGTGTGTGTGTGTGTGTGTGTGTGTCATTACTTTGTCTAATCATTTGTGGTTGGTCGCTTTAAATGTTAGTCAGACGATCTCATCCAGTCTAAGTAGCCAGTTCTTGAACAGAATAAGCTGCAAATAAACTAAAAAGCGAGAGTCACAGGAGGCTAAACTAGCTTTCAATGGCTAATTTTAACATAGGAAGTGAAACACTGTGTGTGTGTGTGTGTGTGTGTGTGTGTGTGTGTGTGATGTCAACTAAAGGCCTTCATTTATTTTTAAAGTGCCCCTATTATGCCATTTTTAAGGTTGCTAATATTGTTTTATGAGTCTCCTAAAACAGGTTTACATGCACACAAGGTCAAAAAACACATGCGCGTGTGTGTGTGTGGACGCAGATATATGTGGTACCTGTGGCCTGTCATACGGTACAGTTTCCATTACTCTTTCACAAAACTGCTCCCTCACCGGTCTCTCATCACAATCTCACAACACCTGGCAAGAGCATCTCCAGCTCATACTTTATTTTATCCCAATATTTGGGGCAAATGTTGTCATGAAAATAATGATTTAAAGCAAAAACTCTTAAATAGGCTTCATTTTATTTAAGTAAGCAAACAATATATAAAGAATAATTGAATGAATGAACGAACGAACAAAGCCTATTTTAAAGTGTTCGCATTAAATCATTATTTTCACGACATTAACTTTTGCCCAAAACAATAATGTAATGTGTAAAAAACAATGATAAACATTTCGATTCTAAAGTATTTGATGTGTTGTCTATAGGTTATGCTGATTTAAATTAAAAGTCATTACAGTAATAAGAATCTAATGAAATCATCACAGAAATGAACTTCAAACTCAAAAGTAAAATGTTGCATTAAAGAAACTTTTTTATATATTTATGAATTTAAATATTGTTAGGATTGTTTACATTTCATATATTCATTTATAGACTACCATTACAATTTTGGGGGTTTAAAATAAATTAATACTTTTATTCAGCAAGGATACATTAAATTGATCAAAAGTGACAAAGACATTTATCATTTCTATTTCAAATAAATGCTGTTCTTTTAAACTTTCTAGTCATCAAAGATTCATGGAGAAAAAAAACGTATCACAGTTTCCACAAAAATATGAAGCAGCACAACTGTTTTCAGCATTAAATAATCAGAAATGTTTCTTGAGCAGCAAAACATATTAGAATGATTTCTGATGGATCATGTGACACTGAAGACTGGAGTAATGATGCTGAACATTCAGCTTTGCATCACAGGAATAAATTACATTTTACAATATATATAAAAAAAAAAAGTTATTTTAAATAGTAATAATATTTCACAATATTACTGATTTTACTGTATTTTTGATCAAATAAATGTATCCTTGGTGAGCAGAAGAGAATTCTTTCAAAAATATCACAAAATCGAACCGACCCCAAACTTCAAGAACAATGTGATTCCACTTTGTTTTCATACTTTCACAAAGTCAGCACTCATTTTGTACCAATTTCTTCCTTGTACCCTTTTGTGGAGATGTTCATTAGTGAAATAAGCTTCCACTTTGTTGCATGCCACTTCATTACTTTGTCTAATCATTTGTGGTTGGTCGCTTTAAATGTTAGTCAGACGATCTCATCCAGTCTAAGTAGCCAGTTCTTGAACAGAATAATCTGGAAATAAACTAAAAAGCGAGAGTCACAGGAGGCTAAACTAGCTTTCAATGGCTAATTTTAACATAGGAAGTGAAACACTGTGTGTGTGTGTGTGTGTGTGTGTGTGTGTGTGATGTCAACTTCACACATCTGACAGTGCTTAAAAACAGCCTGAATAAGTAATGTGGTGTTTTTCGGTGCATGGTGTAGCCTAGTGGTTAATGGTTTTGTAGCGAATTTAGCTCACAACAGGAAATATGAATAATTAACCATAACTAGTTATAATTAACTATTCATATTTTAGATCCTCTGTAGATATTTAGCTGACCACTCAGGGTCAACTGTCTTGTCAATTCTAAGAACGTTAATTTCCTGGTTAAGGGAAATAACTTTCTTACTGTACAATTCTACCAATTAATTAGTAGAAAAGTCAATTTCTACTGTGCATTTGTGCCCCTTGTTTCTGGAGAATGCAGCTGAGAGTCGGCTCGCATTCCACAAGGTTGTAAATGTATCGGGTTACCATGAAACCAGGGTCCTGTTCGGCGTCCTGGGGTGTTACAAAGTATTTGTGAAATCTAGCTAACAAAATATATATTGTGTGTTTGAGTGGTCCAGACGCTACAGTTTGTTCTGAAAAGTTGCGGATTCATAAACTTACCATCATTGCGCCCATTCAAGCCCCCAAACTGAACACCTGCTGCAAGTCATTTAAAGAAGGTATATCATGTAAAACGTTTTTTTTCTATATCTAAGGGTACTACAGTGTAAAAATTATTTTTAGAAGTTGTAAATAAAACAGAAAGATTATTGAAAGTTATTATTATTGATTATTGCAGTCTTCCTATTTCAAAATGTCATGTTTAATTTCATGTTACTTGTCATTGATTTGCAATTATATGTGTAAAGAGTGAAAATGCTAATGTGTTAGGGTGTCCTGTGTGTGTTCTATGTGGTTGCTAAGGCATTACATGTGTGTGTTCTAATAAGGTGTTACTAGGGTGTGTTCTACAGTATGTGGTTGCTAAGGTGTCACTAGGGTAGTTGTTTGCTGGCCCAGGTTAAATGATATTTGGTGATATTCTGGTCTAGATATGGGCTCAGATCCATTCTTCAATAACTCAAGGAAAAACAGCCGGTCTGATCACAGGTCTGAAAGTATTAGAAAACCTCTCTTCAACAAGCTGCTTGATTTGATTCATATCTGTAGCACAAATGGTGCAGAACGAGTTCCATGACAAAGTTGAATATTTAGGGGCTTCGGAAACCAGCACCACTAATTATGTCACTTAAACTCACTATTTAAAGACAATATTTGATGAATACTATAGACATTCTACTTCCTCTTTTCACCCTTGAGTGAGAGATGAGGTCAGAAACACACTTCTGTCACACACTAAATGTGTTTACAGTGTCAACTGAAAGCAGGTGATTTGCATTGAGGACCTATTTAACATCTTGTTTAATGACAGGATTGGCAAGAAGATAGAATATTGTTATTAGAACAGAGATTCCGCTAACAACATCCTGGTGCCATGTTTGAGATAAAGATGTTCTGGGGCCTATTCTTCGTACGTCGCTTATTACATCCGAGATGAAATGTCACATCCAAGATGATATCATCGCGCTAATCAGGACCTGGCTAATTCGGTTCTTCGAATGCACCTGTTGTTGATGATTAGTATGGCTGGATTGAGTTATCTGAGATAATTGGGCGTCCATGGGTTGGTTTAAAAGGGACTATGTATCGATACTCGAAACCATGATCAGCAATGCAGCGATTGGATCTCCTGCGCTCCATCAAACCACTCCCATAATAGCTGTCATCACTCAAATTAATGCACGACATTATCTATATAGCATGTGTGTAAGACTCGAATACAATTATGAAGTAATCATTTTATGACGAATAAATCTTTCAGTAAGTAAAACAGGCTGTGTCTATAGTATTTAAGACAACACAACATTATTATATTATCTTTAAATTAATTTTTAAATGATTATTATTTTAAATTATTGTCCCTGGATTAGTAGGGTATTCTTGTAATAAAGTAGCGGTGGTAGCGGACAGATTTTAAGTATCAATTATGCTTAAAAAGATGCAATCTAATCCTGTTTACATGAAATAAGCCTGCTCCCGAGCAGGTTTAAGCTTACGGACCTGTTGCTATGACCGCAACTCCGGGACGAGCTTCGAAGAACCAAATAATCCAAGATCATGCCAAATCGTCAACAATCAAATCCAGCTAACTGAGTTAGCGACGTACGAAGAACAGCCCCCTGATGGCTGATTTACATTTAGAGATACAATATGTATCTTCGTCCATCATTTCAATAGACAACATCATCTAGCATCTCAGTAACATTTCTGCACCTCTAAAATCATACAGAAAAATCACACCAAACTGAATTCCAAATACAATCAATGACAAGTCTCCTTGTTTGATCATTGGTCAGTCAAACAGATAGACCCTTCCCAAACTCACACCTGAATTATAATGGTTCCACCTATAGCTGCACAATTTGAGGGGAAAATAAGATTTATTGTGATTTTTCTTAAAATAA